CAACCTCAGGTGACCCACCCGCCTTGGCCTCCCAGAGTGCTGCGATTACAGGCGTGAGCCGCCACGCCCGGCCGCATTTCCTCTTTATTTCAGCAGCCATAGTGGGCATTGTATTTTCGTTTGTTTCCTCTTCCAGCATTTGTATGTTATTTGCATGTGTCGATCTTGTGTCCCGCAACCTTGCTGAGGCCACCTATTAGCTCTAGGAGTTTTTGTAGATTCTTAAGATTTTCTGCACAGATAATTGTGCCATTTGCAGACACAGTTTTAATTCTTCCTTCCCAGTCTGTATGTCTATGATTTATTGTTCTTGCCTTATTTTAGTGGCTAGAACTTCCATTACTATAATAGTAAGACTTTCTGCTCTTAGGAGGAAAACATCCTGGCCTTCACCAGCAGCTTCATGTTTGCTCTAACTTTTTTAAGGTTTTTTCTTCTTTTCGTATATGTCCTTTGTCAAGTTGAGAGTTTTTCCTCTATTCCTATTCTTCTAAGGATTTTTATCAAAAACGTTGGGGCCTCAATTGCTATAACATCGTGATATAGCCCGGTGATATGGTGGGCTTCATTGCCTGACTTTCAAACCGAGCCAGCCTCGTGTCCTTAGCGAGCCCCGCTTGGTGACAGTGTCTGATCACTTTTACCTCTACCTGCTAGTATTTTGTTACGGATTTTGCAGCTCTCCTCACGGGGCTGCCAGTCTACAGCTTTCTTTCCTTCTCTTTTTTTTGTACCTTCTTTGTTTTTGGCATTGGGGTGACATTAGCATCATAAAGTGAAATGGGATGTGTTCCTTCCTCTGCTTTTTTCTGGAACAGATCATGCAGAATTGGCATTAATTCTTTAAACATTTGGTAGAATTCTCCAGTGAAACCATATGGGCCTACAGTTCTTTCTTTCTTTCTTTCTTTCTTTCTTTCTTTCTTTTTTTTTTTTTTTGGTGGGTTTTTAAATTATGAGCTGGTTTTAATTCTCTGCTGGCTATCTCATGAATTCATGGGTTGAAAAAGTCTTTGACACGTGTCCACTTCATGTTTGAATGGATCATGATTTTACTTTTTAAAAAAGTTTTTTCTCTCATAGCTCTTCCCTGGGCAGTGGGGCAAGAGGCAAGCTGACTTCTCATCCTGAAGGGTGGGCAGGAGGGCAGGGGTGCCTGGCCTGGCTCTGAGGAGGCAAGTGGGCTGGGAGGGGCTGGAGCAGGAGTTCCACGGGGCTTTGCTTCAGCTTCAACCAGAGGCTGCTGCCCCTCCCCTGGCTGGGGGAGCTCCTCAGCCAGGACCATCTGCCAGCTCTCTTCTGCTCCTAGCTACCCCTACTCCTTTGCCCAGGTAAATTCACCCTTCCTCTCGGCCACAGACATCGCCAGGGCAGGCCCAGGCCACAGCATCACCATACCATCCTGTCTCCACAGACAGGGAGCAGAGTTCTGAAAAGGTCGGTTGTCCGCCCAGGGTCACCGAGAGTCTGTGCAGGGCAAAGGTGGAAGTGTGGGTCTTTCCCCCACGGGGTTCCTAGGGCTTTGTAGGTGTGCGGAGGGGGCTGAGGTTGTGGGATCGGCCACCACCTGGAAGGCCCTCTCTGAGGCTGGCCTCCCCATCCTGCAGTGGCCCACAGCCAAGGGGAGCACCCTCCCCATCTCGCTGCCTTGCCGCCCTGCTGCCAGGAGGAGGTGGCTTCCACCGGGCACCCACCAGAGGATAGACATGACGGTGCATTTCTCCCTGAGTCAGTCTTTGTGCATCTGGATCTGGCATCCAGAAAGTGACCATTTCTCCATGTGTAAACAAGAGAGGCCCTAGCCACGACTGTCCAGATTCAAGGCTCCCGCACAGGTGCCTGTCCTGGAAGGTGGCCCCCTGACTTAAAGGCACCTCCCTGTCTGTTTCTGTCAATCCCTTCCTGGGCAGGTGCTTGGAGAAGACAGTGGGGATTAACAGGAGTTCACCCAGAGGCTCCCGGGGGCCTTCCTGACCTTTTCCTCAATGCTAGCCCTGGGATCGATACCCTCCTCTGTGGGTCTGTCCACCAGGTTTGGCCCAGAGCCTGTTGCTCTGTGAGGGCGGGGCAGTGAAGCCCCAGTGCCAGTCCAGTGGAGGGGACACCAGGTGTATCCACGGCAGAGTCACAGCCCAAAGGTCAGAGCACAAGCTCCGGGGCAAGGGTGGCTGGACAGAGCCTGGGCGGGAAACCAACAGGGAGCCTGGTCCTCTGCCCCTTTCTGGCCTCAGATTCCCCTCTGCTCTCCTGCCCTTCCCACACAGGCAGGGGTCAAGAGGGTGGAGCAGGGCAGGGCAGGAAAGACTCTCTCCCAAGAGAAGGACCCAGGTGACCCTGCCTGGCCACGCCTGCCGGCCCTGGTACCAGCCCTGGTGCAGGTGGGTCCTGAAGGTCCGGGCCCCATCCCCTGCATCCCACTCCCTCTGGTCCCCAGCTCCTTGGTCGAGGCTGTGGCCTGCTCCTCTTCCCCTGGCCTCCTGCACACCCACCCCCAGTGCCCTTGGCCAGGTGTGGGGCTTCCATGGGGGCTGTTGGCACCAGGACCAGGTTGCACTCAACGGCTGGGCCATGAGGGTGATGGTGGCCTCGAGGGTGGGGGCATTCAGTGGGTGATCACCCAGGACCTCTCAGCTCGTCCTGAACATGCGGGTTCTTTCTGTGGTCATTATGGTCCCTGTGCTTCTGGCTGACCCACAGGCTCCCAAGGGCAGGGACCCCTCCTGAGCCCTCCCAGGGATTGCGAAGGTGGGAGGTGGGTGCAGGAATGGGCCAAAGGCTGTCCTGGGAGGGGAGCGAGTGAATTGCAAATTGGAGTACTGGGCTGGGGGAGAAATCCCACGGGAGAGGCTCTAGGAGGGGCTGTCTTGGCACTGCCCCAAGACCAGGGTGGGAGAGTGCAAGGTGCTGGGCGATGACCCCGACCCCAGAACTGAAGGGGAGCCGAGGTGGGGCAAAGAGCAGGGTCAACTCTGGTACCCAAGACCCCTCCGTGCCTGGGGGAGCCACCCCAGGGAGCTATGAGGGCAGTGCTAATGGGGCCAAGGCAGGCGCTGCAAGTCCGTGAGAGGGGAGGATGGGGCAGGCCCCAGGCGATCCCGAGGCAGCAGGAGGGCCACAAGCCTAGATGGGTGCTGGGGTGAAGGTGAGCAGGTACTCTGGGGTCTCTGGCCCAAACATGCACATTTCACACATACACATATAAAACACACACGTGTTCAAAACATTACCTCATTGAGGAGAGAACCAGTAAAATGTTATGACCAGAAAGCTTGAGCACCCCACATACGTAGGGAAGAAGAAAGCTGAAAGGAATTCAGAAGCGGATGCAGAAGAGAGCTGCCACCAGCCCGTAACCAAGTGCCCACCCTGGGATCCTCCATGTGCAGTCCACAGACGGAGCCATCACAGGACAGTGGGTCTGCTACCATGATGGACGAGGACAGACCTCTGAGTCAGTGGAAGATGGGGTCCCTTGACAGTGGGTGGCCAGGAAGAAGATGCCCTCTCTGATCTGCCAAGCTCTTTGGCCCTTCAACTCTGCCCAGCATGGAGACGGGCCTTGGCCACTGGGACGCCCTGGAGATGGAGGACATGGCAACCCCTGGCAGGCTGCTTTGGACAGTGCATCTGGGGACAGAAGCAGGCTGGCACCTTGAGGACTGTGCACCATCACTCAGCAGGCCTCGAGGCATCTGGGACAGGAAGTTCCCTAAGGACCCCTGGGCACCAGCATCCAACAGAGCCAGTGTCCAGGACCTAGGCACCACTGGACACCAGGAACGAGGGTCCTCTAATGAGGCCCAGCCCAGAGAGCCCCTGAGGGCTCAAGCACCATGTTGCCCTCTCCTGCTTAGGCGCAGGGGGGGCGCTCTCTGAGCTGAAAAATCACCCTCTGGAGCAGGGGGCTGCAAGCATCTGTGGCTGAGACCCTCCTGGTTCTTTGGCCTAATCCTGAAAAAGATCGGGGTTCAGTGGAACAAAAAGGGCCCCAGCCCCTGTGGGGAGAGGACGCTGGGACCATTTTCCCTGAGGGCCAGCTCTGGACTGCCCGTCAGGGTGCTCAGGACAACAGAGGCCCAAAGCACGGGCTTCCTGGCCTCCCGTGTGCAGAGGGGACACCCAAGGCACGGGGCAGCCCAGGGTCTGATGAAAGTGCTCCTCACTGAGCCGATCCAGGTGTCATCTGGTGGCTGGATGGGAATGCAGATTCCGCCCTCCTCCGGGAAGGACTCTTTAACCCAAGCTCCAGGGGACAGGGCAGCCGCCTGCCAGGGCTGCTGGGGAGACGGACCCAAGAGAGAGCCACAGTCAGGGCAAGAGGAGCCAACCCCAGGAGCTGGTTCAGGCCCAGGGAGGAGGACCTGGGGAGGGAAGTACAGGCTGTCTTCGGCCAGGCCTGCAGCAGGAACTGGGAGCTGCGTGCCCATCATGGGAGAATGGAGACACAGGGAAGCCACAGAAGCAGCTCCTTCACTCCCTGCCAGCCCCGAGGCTCAGTTACGATTTTTGATGGGATAAGGGTGGAGTTGGCCCTGGGCTCCAGAATCCCAGCTGCTTGAAGAGGGGCTGGCCAAGGCTGCCACCAGTTCCCCCCATTGACCTAGATGAAAGAGCACTGCCCCTGCCCTTCTGTTGCAGGCTGCCTTGGGCCTCACAGGCCTCCCAGCTGACCCTGCGTGGCCTCCCAGGGTCTGCTCCAGAGTCCAGGGCCTCTGGGCCACCGGGCCACCAGGCCACCAGCTCAAGAGGGGAGGAAGCTGGCTGGGGATGCCTGGGCTCCCAGCACACCAGGGACACCCTTTACTTGGCCCTCCTCAGCAAGATCATGATCAGCAAATGCAGCCCCACCCTCCTCTGGGGTTCACCTGGACCTGAACCCAGCCCTGCACCAAGGAAGAAAGCTCATCCCGGTTAGCTGGTGTCCCCGCCCTCGCTCCTGCGGGAGGAGGTGAAATGAAGAGAAAGAGGTGAAATTAATTGAATCATTTATTTTATTTAACCCAATATATCCAAAAATCTTCCCCATGCAGGACATATTCCAGCCTCTGGCCAGGCGCCATCAGGATGCTGTCAGGGCTGGAGCGTGGTCTGAGGGCGAGGCATGGCCTGGAGCCCACCTGGGGGGTGAGGCCCCTCTTTAGAGCCCCTCTCTGCAGACCTGGCCTCTGGCCCTTCAGAGCTTTCCCACCCCCAGCCTGCCCTCCCAGCCCCTTGGCCCCCTCCCTAAGCTCTGCATCCCTGGCCAGGCAGTGGGCCGTGTGGGGGCTGAGGAGGGAGGAGTGCAGCAGCCTCAGAAGCCCAGCCAGAGGCTCTCCTTCCAACCACGTGGCTCATTGGGACTCCAGGCACGGAGCTCCCGGGTGGGCGGGAGGCCCGTGGCAGGCAGGGGCTGCTGCCAGAGCCAGGATGCGCTGTGGCTTGGTGCCAACTCCACTCAGCCTCTGTACCATCCTCCCTCCCCTTTGCTTACCTGCAGGTGGCTTTGGTGACTTGGCAATGGCCCAAGTGCTGCCATTGCAGGATGGGGAAACCGAGGTAAGAGCAAGGGAAGCCAAGGACTCTGCTGGGACCTGTGTCCAGCATCTGCAGGAGCCAGTCCCCAGTGTCACCATGCGAATCTGATCATCTGTGGGGAGGCAGATGCCCAGCACAGGGAGGCCGTGTGGCTGGCTCCCTCCTGCAGAGGTCAAAGGGGAGGTCAGAGAGCAGGCAGCGAGGACAGAGCCCAAGCTATTGTGACAGAGGAGATCTGGCCAAAGATAACAGGAGCTGGGCCCACAGCAGTAATAGCAAGGGGTGGCAGCGACAGGGCTGTCCCCTGAGTGGGAGCACTGTATGCAGGGCAGGAATGGGTGTCTGACAGCTCTGCCTCCTCTGGACCTCGTGATTCCAACCTCAAGACCCAAGGCCCCAAGCCCCCGACTCACCCGCCCAGGCCTGAAACCCATCTATCAAGGATGCTGCGGGGACCTCAGCCCAGTTCCCATAGCAACGCCTGGATGGTGGGGGAGGGGAGGAGAGTAGAAATGCAGAAACACCAAATAAAGAACAACAACCTCACAAAATGAGCAGTCCGGGAAAGGGCAGTGGAGGGATGGCCCCAGCCCCACTGAGGAGGCCCCAGCAGGTGCAGCCGCCATCACCACTCACGTAAACAGCACTGGCCAGTGCCAGCTGCCACACAGGGCCTGAGACACAGAGGCCAAGGGGTAGCTCCCAAGGCCAGCATGCAAGGGGCCTGGGCAGGGCTGCCAGACTCAACACTGGGTCCCCAGCTGACCCTCTGGTCTCAGCTCTAAAGGGGGAAGCAGACAGGCAGCCCTGACCACACAGTGCTCACCTGCCCCTCTCCACAGCTGTCCTACTGGCGGGGCTGACCTTTTGGGATCTTATCTGACCCACATGTCAGCCCCACAGCAGCCCCAGGAGACACCCTCATCACTCTGATTTACCATGAGGATACTGAGGCCCAGAGGGGCCACACAATCAGGTGAAGGGGAAGGGCTGAAGCCAGGAGGGAATCTGCCCCATGCTGGGACGCTGGACTGGCAAGTCCAGCACAGAGCAGGCATCATGGAGGCTGTGCTGGGTCCCTGCTGCAGCCACAGATGCAGTGGCTCAGACAGCACGCCTTTCCTGTCTCACGGCTCTCTGAGTCAGGAGGCCAGCCCTGGGGCTCAATGGTCTAAAATCAACGTGTCTGCAGCCTATGTTCCCCTGGGAGGTTCGAGGGGAGCGTCCTCTTGGAGCCCTGGCAGGTCCAGCTGTGGTCGCCTGGCAGCACCTGGCCTGCGCCATGGCCACACCCTCTCCTTGGATCCTGCGGTCATGCTGGGCCACATAGATGATAACCAACTTACGTCGAGGTCCGCTGAGGAGCAGCTGAGCTGCCCGTGCCCGGGAATCTAACATGAGGACATTTTGGAGGGCCATTCTGCCCACCACAGGGGGTGAGGGGGCATCAGCAGGTGGATGAGGGCAGAGGCTCTACCACAGAGGACAGGCACAGCAGGAGACTAGGTCCGTCCTGGGGTGGCTGGGGTGGGTGTGGGTGTGTCAGGTGGGGCCTCAGCCTCCTCCTGTGCCTGCAGTCTCAAGAGACTGAGGATCCACGCCCAGCTGTGAATCTAGTCATGTGTCCAGGACTGCTGACTTCCTTAAGAACCACCTGGGAGCAAGCATCATGGGGGCTTCCTGGAGGAGGCAGCTCAGGCTCTACCTGGAGAAGGTAGAGGATTGGGCTGCAGGGGAGGTGTTGGTCAGAGGAAGCTGTGCTGAGAAAAGCTGCCGGGGCGTGTCAGGGTCCCTTCTTAGGGCCTCCGGTGCTGGAGGAAGAGTGACTCCAGGCTGCCATGGAGTGACTCTCCACTCCATGGTGGCGAAAGGGGCTGTTGTGGGTGTGTTGTGTTGAAGGCCGAGCGAAGGGGAGCCAAAAAAGGCAGGGGAGTCACTGGGCACCACCAGACAGCCCCCCAGGCAGACTTGAGGGGGCATATGGTCTGGCAACTCCAGAGTCCTGGGCAGGTCCCGGCCATTGCTCTGCCATCTGCCTCAGGCAGGCCCTTCCCTCCTCTGACTGAGAAGCCGGCTTCACCCCAGGCCCGCTTCCCACAGGTGCCTCCATGCACACAGGAAAGGAATTAGAATCCCCACCCACACCCCGGCTGTTCTTAATAGGGAAGCCCTGCTCAGCAGGTGCTGGAAAGAGCAAACCCCAGGTAGGGGCTCCATGCAGGCTTCAGGCTTCCTTCTTACCATGGACAGGCTCCAGGAGGTGGGGATTCTGAGTGGACCACAAGCCTCTTGCTTCATCCAGGAGTGAGGAGGCCAGCCCCCATTTCCAGGGAGAGCAGGTGAGCCAAGGAGGCTCCCGGGCGGCCACCACCCTTGTCCCTCATCCGCCACTCCAACTCCCAGGGCAGAGGTCCCATCGTCCCCAGGTGCCCTGAGTGTGGAGAGATGCTGACATCTTTCAGCGGGGCTGCACTGAGCACCCCAGCAAAACAGAGGTAAGATAATTACGGGGAGAAGAGCAGCTGAAAATACCTCCTTCACAGCCCAGACTCCTGGCACGGAAGATGCCAGACAAGTCAGCAGGAGCCCAGGACCAGGGCCTTTGGGGATGGGCAGCCTGAAGCGGCACCCCTCACCAGCTGTGCACAAGGGGGTCACTGCCAGGGAGGGGTGGGGTGGGGCTGACTCGGGGCTGCTGTCCTCAGGGAGCATCAGGCAGCGCCAAGACAGACAGGGAGAGTCGGGGATGGCCGAGGCACCGCAGTGATCCCCGGGGTGGGCGCAGGGCGGAGAGAGAAGGGCAAGGCTTCGGAGGATGAACAGGAGCTCACAGCACTGACCCCTGGGGTGGGCACAGGGAGGAGAGAGAAGGGAAAGCCTTCAGAGGATGAATAGGAGCTCACAGCAGTGGCCATTCCTGGAAGAAGGAGCAGCTTTGTGGCTTCCAGGGAGTCACCCAGAGGCAGGCAAAGGTGGTGCCAGTGACGGCCTTGAGAGCCTCCTGGCCTGACCCTCCCTCCAAGCTGGAGGAATAGCTGGGAACCGTCCACAGGGCGCCCCCGCCCCTGGTGGACTCGCTGAGCTGAGCAGCTGCTGCCTCTGGAGACAGCCTTGGAGCAAGATGGCCTGTGGAGCATCGCGAAGCGCCCGGTAACTGGCCCCAGGCTGAGGCTGTGAGGGGTGGCAGCTCAGAGAAAAGACAGAAGGTGATGGACCCTGCTTTTCCTGCCTGAGCACCAGCAGCCTCTGTGGCCCCTCCTGGCCCAACCCTTGCCCTCAGGTCAGACTCAGGTGTCAGTAGGACCCAGCTATGGACATGGGAAGGGACCAGGTACTGGGTAGGGGATACCCACCGGCCCCAGCTCTGTCCAGGGCTGAGCTGAGGAGGAGGCTGAGCTCAGAGGTCACTGAGGCAGGGCCTCTGCCTGAGGCCCAGGGCTCAAGGAAGAAGCTGGATCAGAGGGAGGACAGGGGTGGTAGTGGGAGGCAGTATCCAAGGCCAGGTCATGGGTGTTAGGCAGGCCAGGCTGGGGATGAGGGTGGGGGACCCACCTGATTCTCCCTGGGAGCTTTGCTTTTAAGCGATTCTGGAGGAACCAGAGCAGGGCTGGAGAGAGAGGGAAGGAGCAGAGGGTGAAACAGGGTTTCGGGGCAAGGGGAGATGGGAATGGGCTGCTGGTCTATCAGCCCAGGAGGGAGCTCCTTGCCCCAGCAGGGGTGGGTGGGCAGGGGAGGGCAGAGCTGAGTGGCCTGACAGCTGGAAATTTGGGCTTTACCCAGAGGTGGTGGCCGGCCACAGAGAGGCGTGGGCCCAGGAGCTCCTCAGTCGTCAATTTTAGCCTTGAAAGATGTTTTTATTCCAGAAAGGACATCTCCAGGAAGCAGGCAAGCAGCAGACAGACACGAAGGTGCCCCGCGGATGTTTCATAGGACGCAGCGCTGCCTAGAGGACGAGGGAGAGAGGCGGCCTGAAGCTCCAGGAGCACTGAGGCTCCGTCAGAACGGAGCACGATCGGAGTGCCTGCCACGGAAAGTGTCTCACCCCAGTGTAATGTTGCTGTTTTTTATCTGAGACAGGGTCTCATTCCCATTGCTCAGGTGAGAACAGGGCTTACTGCAGCCTCAACTTCCAGGCTCAGGTGATTCTCCTCCCTCAGCCTCCCAAGCAGTATAGTTGGGACTACAGGTGCTCACCACCATACCTGGCTACTTTATTTTATATTTTTGTAGAGATGGGATCTCGCCATGTTGCCCGGGCTGGTCTCAAACTCCTGAGCTCACGCAGTCCACTGGCATCTGCCTCACCTTCAAACAGTTCTGAGATTGCAGGCATGAGCCACCACACCTGGCCTTTTTTTAATTTTTATTTTTTGTAGAGACAGGATCTCACTATCTTGCCCTGGCTGGTCTCAAACCCCTGGCTTCAAGCCATCCTCCCACCTCAGCCTCCCTAAGTGCTGGGATTGCAGGCACGAGCCACTGTGCCCAGCCAGTGGCAATAAGTGAGCACTATTAACCCCATGGTGACCGTGGAAGAGGCAGGGTGGGGAGGATGTGCAGTCAGGGTGGGGCCAGTGTGCACTGCAGGTGCACGCCACCATACCTGGAGGAGATCACTGTCCTCTTGACCTTGCAGACTCCACAGAAGGAGGCTGGGCGGGGACCCCATGCCAGGCTGCACTGAGCCCCTCTGTGCCCTCAAGCATCACCTGGGATGGGACTCCTGATCCCCCCTCGACTCTGGGACCTCAGCCCCACCAGAACCAGGCAGAAAGGGAAGGGCTCCGCATGCCCAGCGCCTCTCTCCATGGAACTTCCTCTTCTCCTTATGAAGCACCCTTGGCCCCTGTTCCACCCTCTTCACTCCCTCCTCACCCAGCAGCCACAGGAGTCACACAGCTCTGACCTGTCTCACCTGCCCCCACCAGTTCCTCCCCAGCTCCGCCGAGAGAGATGGAGACAGAGGGCCAGAGGGTGGAGGCCAGTGGGACTCGTGCTGCTGGCATCGAGGGGGTGCTCCATGGCTTCTAATCAGCCAAATTCTCTTCGGTGTTAAAATGCTGTAAAATATAAAACATAGATAATTTGTTGACAATTCTCTTGTAAGTTTCTATACTAACTTGAACTCTCCCTGGAGTTAAAAGACCCTCGCCAACTAGAAACGAGTCCTGCCACCTGTGAGGTTGGGAACAGTCCACACGACTGCACCACCCTCACTTCCGACACCAACTATAGATGCCCGGGATCCTGACAGCTGCCTCACAGGTGATGACTCTCTAGATGGTCCCCAGCACCCCTGGAAGCCATTATGCCCGTGGCTATGGATTTCTACGGGAAAAAATGTAGATTAAAATCAGCCCGGCAGGAGGATTACTTGAGCCCAGAAGTCCAAGACCAGCCTGGAAAACATGGCAAAACCCTACAGAAAGAAAAAAAGAAAGAAAGAAAGAGAGAGAGAGGTAAGGAAAGGAGGGAGGGAGGGAGGAAGGAAGGAAGGAAAGAAGGGAGGGAGAGAGGAAGGAAGGAAATATGGAAGGAAGGAAGGGTGGGAGGGAGGGAGGGAGGGAAAAGAGAAAGAAAAGAAAGAAGGAAAGAAAGAGAAAAAGGAAGAAAGGAAGGAAAGAGAGGAAGGAAGCAAGGAAAGGAGGAAGGAAGGAAAAGAAAAAAAGGGAAAGAAAGAGAGAGAGAAATAAATAAATTAGCTGAGTGTGGTGGCACGCACCTGTGGTCCCAGCTACTTGCAAGGCTGGTGTGGGTGGATGGCAGGACTCTGTGAGGCCGAGACTGCAGTGAACTGTGACTGAGGCCCTGTACTCCAGTCTGAGTGACAGAGAGACCTGTCTCAAAAATATAAAAAATAAAACCAGAATGGAAAGAGGCACGTGGACAGAGCCCAGGAGGGGTTAGACACAGAGCTCCTGGTGGTCCTCCCAGGGGTCCTGGATAGCATGAGACCCACCCCTCCCTTAGCGACGTGGGTCAAGGCGTACGGAGCATTGACAGCCATGGTAACTCCTGCCTTGGGGTCTGTCATGTGGACCTGGCTGGTGCCCACACAGCTGAGCCGTCTAGGCTCGAAGCCTCCCCTGAAGTCACATGAGACCATCGGTGTGGCCTGAGGCCCCAGCGTTCAGGATGTAGTGATGTCCCAGGAGCCCTGGGCAGAGGCCAGGCAATCTTGGCCGATGTCATGCTTTTCACACATACCACCCTAAACGATATTCAGTGTGCCTTCTGTCCACTGGCTGTCCACCTAGAGCCTTCCTCCTTCCCATATGCATCCAGGATTTTGTCACTGGGCATGGGCAGAGGTGCCATGGGTGGCCGTGGCAGTTTCTGGGCTCAGTCTTACACTCATGGCGTGTCCCTCGCTGTCTCTTGCCCCTCTGGGTAGCAGCCTGGAGTGTCCAGGAACCTGGAAGTTCTGGAAGGAACACAAGCTGCCCAGCCACATGCTTCCCAGAGGGGAGACCGCCCTCTGAATTTGCAGGGCCTCTGTTCCAGCCACCTCACCTGGCGCAGACTCACACACTCTCCCAAGCCCATCGCCTTCCCCACAACCCCCAGAGGCACCTGCCAGCCCTCAACAGTGACCCTGCTGAGACTGGGAGCCGTTAATCTCTGTCGAAACTTGAAGGCAACGAAGGGGACCTGGCACCTGCCCTCTGCCCCGCACACTGGCTCCGTAAGTCCGGGTTATGGAAAGGCACCAGCCTCCTGGCGGCCCTGGGATCTGACCTGTGTTTCCTGGCTCCGAGGCCTCCCACCAAGCTGGGTCTGCGGGATGAACCTCTAGGGGCTTCCTGGGTGCTTCTCCCCAACCTGAGTCAAGCACGACCCCTTTCTGTGCCTCAGTTTCCCCATGCTACGGTGAGAGTGTGAGACTGAGTGGTCTGTGATACCTGGATGGGCAGGAGCAGTGAGGGGTGGGGAGGGGCCTATGGCGGGGAACACCCTGTCCCAGGACCTGGTCTTCAGACTACAGGACACCTGCACAGGGTTTGGGCCCCTCGGTCCCCAACCACCCACCTGCCCACTCCAGCCTCCAGCCTCTTTACTTGGGAACAGAGTGACACAGCTGCACCTCCAATTACCTGAAGGGTTCTGATAGCCTGTTCCACAATGACAGGGAGTCACTTGTTACTAAAAGGGAAGAGCGTCAACAGCCTCCAGCTTTTCATGTGCGAAGCAGCACTTCCAAGACAATGACTGTTTTCAGGCAGCACCGTGGTGCCCAGCTTCCTGTTCCTGCCAATTTCCTCTCCCCGTTCTTCCAGCAGCTTCATTATTTAAAAGAAATGCAAGAGAAGAATAAGGTGGAGGCGGCCCCTTCACCGTGGAGGCCCTGCTCCAGCCCTGCGCCTGGGTGACAACATTTCCTGGCAGCAGGTGGCTCTCTCTGCTTGGTCTCCTGTTTCCTGCTCTCCCGGCCCCCCGCTGCTGCAGGTGCAGTGAGCCCAGCGCCAGGACCCGGCAGGTGCAATTTGCCCCAGGTGGGAGGGGCTGAGCTGGCACCACCCACCAGCTGCCCTCATGTCTTGGCCCAGGATCCCCAGAGCAACCCCACCGAAGGGGAGGGCCCTTCCAGCAGCAAATGACCAGGGCAGCTGTGAGGGTCGACCTGGCCAGGGTACCTTCTCTGTCGCTCAATCAAACCCTAACAGAGGCATTGCCTGGAAGGTTACACAGGAGCTTTCAGGAAGAGCGTCCTTGGGACCTGGGTGGGTCTGGTTCAGTCCCTTGAAAGGCCTTAAAAGCTGAGGCTTCCCTGATGGAGAAGGAATTTTGCCACAGGTGCCCATTTCAGCCCACTCCCCACGGTTCTGGCCTGCCCTGTACATTGCAGACTGGCTCAGCAGCCCCTCCATTGAGTAAGACAGTTCCTTGCAATTAATTCCGTCTCCTGCTTCTCACTGAACACTGATGGGTCAGGGCTGATCCCTGCTCTGGGCCATCTCTTCCCTCCCCTTGGAACTCAGTGTCCCCCACAAAGGCAGGGGGGGCTGATCTCCCGCAGGGCATCAAGTTACCCTTGTTTCCAAGTTCTTCAGCATAGATTTCCTCAGGATAGCATGCCCTGTTTTGCAGACGAGGAAACTGAGGCTCAGAGAGACAAGTTCATGATCCGGTAGCCAGGAACGGCCAGGGTCCCCTCCCCGCCGGGGTCTGCACTAACTGGGTCTGCAGGGCTCCAGAGCCTGAGTGGGGCTGTGTGGGGCAAGCCCTAGCTGTAGTCCCCCTGCACCCAGCTGTACACCCCACGTGCCAGTAGGACTTACAGAAGGACAGACCTCAGCTCAGCATGGACAGGGGCTCCCCCAGTCAGCAGTCACCCCCACTGATGGCCACCTCAGGCCCAGAGGTGGCACTGAGCCAGGCCTAGTGGGCTGTGGGGGCTGCTGCATGGAGTCCCTAGGGTGCTTTCCACCTGAGGACCCAGAACCCTGATGGAGGCTGCCCTGTTGGTCCTCCCCCAACCCCCGAGCCCCCAGAGACCTCTCACTACACCCCTAGGGTCTCCAGGGTCACTCTCTGGGCCGGGGGACCTGCATCTGTAGCTCCACTCCTGCCCAGCCCAGGCGTAGAAGAAAGCAACATGAACACTCCAAGAAGTTTCAGTGTTTTATTAACAAAATCTTACAAAACGAGTCTGTCTTTGGGGGAAGGTGCACAGGGCCTGGACGGACATGTAAGGCCTGGTCTGTGTGGGGCAAGGGGCAGGGCTAGCCACACCCTCGTGAGGTTCCCAGGGTCTCCACAGGCTCCAGGGCTTCCCCAAAGCCTGTGCCGGCCTGTGAGGACTGGTTATGGCTTATGTGCAAAAATAAAATCTGTGTGGCTGGCAAGGTGTGGGCCGAAGACTTGTCAGAGTGGTCTGAGGGCTAGTTCCCCAGTGGACAAGGCAGAAGATGAGCCCTGACCAGCGCCTGCTCAGGCTGCAGATGCTAGTGGCCCGCTAGCACCAGGGTGCTGGTGTCAGGGCAGGGCAGAAGGTCTGGAAGAGCCCCAGGAGCAAAGGCTTCCAGGATCACCTTCCTGCAGCTGGGCTCTGGGCTCAGGGTTCCTGGGCAGGAGTAGGGGCAGTGGGCCCAGCCTTGGGGCTCATGAAAGCCTCTGGCAGAGAGGATGGCCTGGCAGCGGGCGGGGTTTCCCTGCTAGGAGGGAGGCAGGACCCCGACTCCTGCTGCAGTGGCTCTGGGGGCCGGCAGCTGGCGGCCAGCAGGGCGGGCTTAGCGGCAGGCCCTGGCCCTCACGCTGGCACTCAGGGCTAAGCTGGGCTCTTGCCCTCTGCCGCAGCGACTCCTCTCTGTAGCCCCACTCTGGGCTGTCCTGGAGCTTTGCCTCCCACGCAGGCAGCCTGCAAGGTGAGGGGTGGGTGGTGCCCAGCACAGCAGCAAAGACTTTGTGAGAAACTTGAGACCTGAAAGAAGAGGAGAGTGGGTGGTAAGGGACCGTGCGGGACAGCAGGCTTCACAGGGAGGGGCTGGGGATGATGGACGGCGCTGCTCTCCCAGGGCAGAAGCCCCTGACCCTGTCAGAGCCTCCCAGCTTGCCCGGGCACTGGGGAGTGACCTGGGGCCCGGGTGTCTGCGGTCTGGGGAGGAGCTCATTTGGCAGGGACAGCTGATGGTGGGGTCTGGGTGGGAGGGTGGTGCTCGGTTACCTGCTGTCACTCTCCTGGCTCCAAGGGTGCCGGCTGCTGCCTCAGCCGGATTTGGGACTCAGCCCCTCTGGGACCCTCCGCCTGCCACGGCTGAGTCATGAGCTGAGCTCTCCTTCAGGCGGGTGTGAATCACTGGAGCTGGGGGAGAGAAAGCGCGGGTCCATGTGAGAGCTGGCTCAGCAAACTGCCCCTGCCTCCCACCCGGCCCCTCTCCCCGATGCCCCCTCCATGACACCACTCCCACCCCATCCCTTCGGCTAACTTGCTGGGAGCCCCAGCTGGGTGAGCTCTCCTAGAAAACAGCCTCTGGGTCCTGCCAGCTCTCAGATGCCCCATGGTGGGTGGTGCCTTGAGGCAGGAGCTCACCTGGGGGGCCAGGAGGCACCGGGACATCAGGTCTGCTGCTGCTGCGTTTGTGACTTCTGCTCTCCCCTGGGAGGAGGGGGCCGCACTGCCCGAGGCTGGCCAGCTGCCCTGGGAGGCAGGGAGGACGTCTGCTGGCTCTGGGGATGCCGGGAGAGGGTGGCGGCACCGAAGTCGAGGCTCCCTCAGCACTAGTTCTGCCCTAGCTTCTGCTATGGGGTGTCCCATGAGCTTGGTGGTTGCTGGCCCCTGTCATCCCAACACTTGGTTTTCTGGATGTTCAGAGGGCCAGGCGTTGTAGCAGCATGAGGAAGCTGGGGTGTTGTGTGATGGCCCGAGTGTGTGGAGGGTGGGGTCCAGGCCGGGAAGACAGACGGAGGGAAGGTGCCGGGCGGAGCTCTGCAGGGGGAAGGGCTCTTTGCTGCTGGGTGCGGTGCCCACATCTGGATGACACGAGTGGGTGCAAGTCGGGCAGGAGCCTGGGGGGGCACCCAGCTGGACCATGGCTTCCCCTGCAGGAGTCAGCCCCAGCTCAAAAGTCCTGGTGGGCAAAGCCACAGGCTGGATGTGGTGGGCAGGCTGGGGGCTCCAGGCTGCCATCTACTCAGGCTGGGTCCGGTCACTGGCCACAGACTCACTGTTGGGGGCGGGCGTGAGGGTCTCGGTCTCGTCCTCAGCAGGGACATGGGGGCCAGGGCCGGCAGGCTCGGCCGCCTGCTCCAGGTCGTCTTGCACCTCCATGCCCCGCTGGATGAGCTGCTCCAGGGTCTTGGGCAGCGGGTGGCGCAGGAACCTCTTGAGCTTGGGCTGCAGGGTGCCCACCACGTACTGGATGATCTCCTCCTCGTCCGCGTCCACATACAGCGTCTGGTACAGGTCGCGCTTGCGCCACAGGAACTGGTCCAGTGGCTCGCCCTGCTTCTGGGGCAGGTCAAGCTCGCGCTGGATGGCCTCCCGGGACAGCGTGCCCTCGCTGTACTGCAGGAACTCCTTCTTGAACTCCACCCAGTTCTTCACCGAGCCCTGCTTGAACTCCCACCACTTCTTGGCCGGCCCGTTCATGTGGTTCTGGATCTGGGACAGCCAGTACTCCTCAGAGCCGCCCACCTGCCGCAGGTACTCCTCCAGGTGGCTCAGGAACTCCCGGGGGTCCTCGAAGATCTGCGTGTCCACGCCGGGGCTGGGCTGCCCGTCCTCGCCGGGGATCCACGCCTGGTACTGCTGGGCCTCGGCGGGCTCCTGGCCAGGCAGCTCACCCGTGGCCGGGGGTGGGGTGATGGCGTAGGGGCTCACGGTGTAGTCGTAGCCGTCTGCCTCCTGGCAGTAGCTCTCGGGACCCCCCACGCCCACGGAGACAGTGTGGCGGGCCGGCTCACTGCCCACCGGGTACTTGCCCCCCATGGACTCCAGGCGGTCGGCCCAGCGCTCCAGGCGGTAGAACACCTCGCGCCACACGTGCATCTCGCGCTTGACCCAGCGCTCCAGGTTGGCGATGGTCTCCTGGCAGCGGCACAGGCAGGCCTTGATGGACTTCTTCCAGCGCTGTGAGTCGCCCGTGGGCACGTAGCCGTCCAGGTTGCTCTCCAGCTTCCCCACCGAGCGGTGCAGCCCCTTCAGCTCGCGCTCCACTTGCTTGGACACCTCTGTCAGCAGGTGCCGGTGTGTCCGCCGCACGTGCTCCAGCATCTCGGCCCGGCACTTCCCGATCTGCAGGATCACGTTGGGCTTGGCCGCCGGCCCGCCCCGCGGCCCGGGGTAGGCGTGGAGCCCGCCGCTGGTCCGGTGGTCCAACTCCATCTGCGCGCAGAGGCCGGCGCTCGCACGGGCGGCAAACTCGTCGGGGTGGACGGGGTGGGGGGCGCTGGGGTCCGGCGGCGGTGCCCGGTAGTGGCCTGGGTCCCGTGCGGAGCTGCGGGGAGCGCCTGACTGTCGCTCTGGGCCGGCGACGGGGCTGGCTAGGCGCGCCCGGAGAGGCAGGTCCCGCTCGGCTGCGGCTGAGGGAGGACGCGGCGCCCAAGCTCTGCGCTGAGCCCCAGCCGCAGGCTCTTTATGCAGCCAGCGCGGCCCGTGGGCGGCCGGCTCGCCGAGCCCCGTTTCTCATTGGCTCCGCCGCAGGCTCCCCGCCAGCGCCCCGCCCGCGCCCCTGCAGGCCCCGCCCCGCGCCCACTCGGCTCAGGGCTGCGGAGGGACTGGAGGGCCCACCCCCTGCAAACTCCGCAGGGCCGGGATGACTAATCCATGGGCTCCGCACCTCCCACCCCAGGTGGCGGGGCTCATTTATCCTGCGGGGACCGGAGGGACTGAGCAGGGCACTGGGAGCCCCCTTCCACACCCCTCCCAGCGCCTGGCAGGCTGTCAGCTGCTGCCTCCCTTCCGGGGTCCCAAGGTGGGTTTCCTCCTCTCCACTCGCCTCTCTCTTGGGGGTCTGGAGGGGGTTGCGCTGGCCACTGCTCTCCTGGGTCCTCACTGTCCTCGCCCCTGCCTGCCCAGCTCTGCGGAGTGTGCAGCTCAGCCCCGCAAGGACCCTCCCCATCAGCCCCCTAACCCTGTGCCCCGAGGCTCAGCAACTCTACACGCATAAAAAATGTGAGCTCCCAGAAGTGGCTTTGAGATCCCACCCACCCCTGCCCAGATCCTGAGTCCAGGTCTTGGGCTCTGTGTGAGGGACAAACAGCCAGGCCAGCTCTGCCAGACCCTGACGTTGATGTGCATGAGTGACATGTGCCTGCGTGGCAGTGACTGGACGGGGCTGCCCCAGGCCTCCACACCCAGGTCTCTGGTGAGGCCCAATACTTTTCTCTGTTTCTGGGGAAATCTGGTAGCTGCTACCTGGGAGTCGGGGTTGGAGGACATGGAGGGGACATTTAGCCTCCAGTGAAGGGAACTAGGCCCTAAAGGCCCCAGCTACATCAGAGACCTGGCCAGAGGCTCCAAGACTTCCAAGAAGATGGAAGAGGGGAGGAAGGAGGGAGACAGGGAGACAGGGAGGGAGGAGAAAGGAGGAAGAGGAGAGGGGGAGGGAGGAGAATGGAGAGGGGGAGGGAGGAGAATGGAGAGGGGAGGAGGGAAGAGGGGCGGTGCTGGCAGCACGGTGCATCAGGAGAGGCAGAGGGAAGCCAAGCACCATATAAGGAGCGGGGCTCCGGAAGCTGAGACTCCCTCGGGAGGGAGGCCCCTTCTGCCTCCCTGGCAACCGGGCGGGGGGAGGGACGCCCTTCCTGAGTTACTCCAATGCTGGCTGGATAGGGAAGGGTCTCCGGTCCTCTGATGTTCCCCAGGGACAACACGGATGACACACACCATTCCCCACCGCCAGAGGGGTGAGAGCACATCACTGCTGATAATCAAGACACCTTGTCCCTGCCGCCAGCTGCCCCTTTCCTCTTAGACACACATAGGCTGCACACTCATACCTCCACTCACACCCCCACACACACACTCATACCCCCCACTCTAACCCCACCCCACACACACACTCATACCCCCCACTCAAGCCTGCCCCACACACTCATGCCCTCACTCAGCCCACACACACACAGTCATGCCCCCCACTCAGCCCTCCACTCCCCCCACACCCCCTCTTGTTCAAGGCACTCAAGGGCACACAGGTGCCCCCTTGCTGGAATCCCTGTTCCCTGCCCACCCTCTGAGCCCCCCCATCTCCCAGGGAGCCCTCTCGTCGCCTCAGAACCAGTCTGTCTCCTCCTTCCTTCCGCCCCTGGGGGGAATGTCTTTCTGGAAAAGCTCCCCCAAAATGGCTCTCCTGGCATTTCTAATTAAAGGTAAGTGGGCGGACAGAGAAGGGAGGGTGGAGGGGCACCGTGGAGCTGGGAGGGGAGCCAAGCAGAGAAGCCTCCAGCACAGGGAGCGTCCCACTGCTCTACTTTGGAATCCCAAGGAGAGGAGCTAGGTGGGCACCTGCGGGGTGGGCAGAGGCCAGCACCCTTGGGTGAGTGCAGCCGGCGGTCATGGAGGGCCACGTGTCTGGGTTGAGGCCCACCTGAGCCTGTAGGTATTGTCTGGGCACTGGGTGCTGACCGTGCATGTGTGTCCATTGTGAGAGCCAGCACTTCGGTGACCAGGGGCCAGCCCCATTAGGGTTTACAAGCCTGTGTGGCCCCTGACATCCATGCCAGGGCACAGCTCTTCAGCCTCTGGCCAGCAATGTCCTCCAGCTGCCACCCTCACCCGAGGCATCAGCAAGCTGACAAGGAGACAGGACAGGGGACACTTGAGCCAAGGTCACAGATGGTGCAGCTGCCTCAGTTTCCTCACCTGTGTGGAGGGAACCAGTCCTGGAGAAGGGCGAGTGCCCAAGGTAGCCCGGTGAGCAGGGCAGGGCTGGGCAGGAGCCAGGCCCTTGGTAGGAATCCTGGTGTCCTGGACAGCACCAGGGCAGGGAGCATTGGGGTGTCACACGGAGCCCCATCTTCCCCTCCCCAGTTCTCTCCAGCAGGGGCTGCAGAGGCTGTGAATGCAGGCCTGAGCTGACAGGTGACAGGCCACAGCCACTGCTGCTGGGAACACTTAATCGCTGCCCAATTACCACCCCAGAAGCTTCACCAAACCCCCGCACTGCAGCCTCAGGAAAGGAGGCCAGGCTGGCTCCCATCCGCCTGGGGCGGGGCCTCTCATGACAGGGGCCTGCCTCCACCCCTGTCTGTCCCTGACAGCCACCAGAGCAGCATGACCTGGGGGTGCAGGTTGGGGAAGGGATGGGGGGGGAACCTGGGCAAAAAGGTCAGGAGCACCTGGGGGACCCCCACTCTCAAGGCCAAGCTGGTCTGCTGCTGTGCACGTCTGAGCCCCTCCTGCCTGAGAAGAGGGGTCTGGCAGGGAGGGAGGGGTGGCCCATGACCCCCAGGTTCTGTTCACAGCTGAGATCCTGGTGGGTTCTGACACCGAGATGCCTGTTTCTAGATGGATCACCTCCCAAATGCACCATCTCAGGGAGGCTCCCAGACTCGGACCTCACTAACCTCCGGTCCAGTCCTTGGGGCGGGGGGCTCCCTCCCTCCCTTCATCCTTAAGATTGCTGTGATGGTCTCCACCAGGCTCACACCAGCCTCAAGGGACCTCTTAGTGCTGGCTCCCGAGCCCCCAACATCTAGGTCCCCAGAGGTGTGTGGGGTATCTGCTCTGAGAGGCAGGGGCCACCTTGTGCCCTGGGCCTCCCTTCTCCTTCTGGGGTGCCCAGCCACCCCTGCCCCACCCTGATCAGAGTGAAGGAAGTTGGCTCTCCCTGCAGCCCTGGCTGACACACCATCGGGGCCTTTCTGGGATGCCAGGAGAGTTTGCAGGGTGGCTGCTGACCTGGGGCATTCTGCTGCTCCTCAGGCTGGCTCTGCTGATCCCAGGTGCCAGCAGTTAGCACTGCTCAATAGGGAGAGGCAAACACAGGTCCCTCAGGGCAGAGCTCATGCCCACCCACCCCACTCACACACATGCACACACACATGTGCACATGCACAGGCACCCCCGCCCACCCCACCTTTGCACACATTCCGAGGCTCCTGCTGCTGCCCTTCTGTGTGGGCCTCATGGCTACAGTCCGGGTAGAGTGAGGAGCCAGGCAGCAGGGAAGGGGCGCAATGGTCTCAAGGGTTGGTTTGGGCACCTGCCGCCAGCATGTGATCACTCCCCTGCCTTGTGACCTTATCTGTCACCACCCACTGCCCAGTGGGGCTGGAAGAGAAGAACTAGGCTTTCCCATGCCCTCAGGGTGCCCACTGCTGGGCCAGGCTGCATGGGCAGACATGACGGCCAGCCTCTCGGCACCTGCGCCCACCTCACTGTCCAGCGCAGGGCTCCACATCTGCAGGAGCGGCAGACCTCCAACCTCACTGGGCTCCCAGGCTGGACACCCACCCAGCTGTCCTCTTTTTCTGTGGCCTCTTCCTTGTAGGCACAGGGCAAGGCTGTCCCAGAGGCCTGGCCTGGGTGAGTCCCTGCACCACCCTACTGGTGGTACCCACAGGTGAATACCTGAGCATGAGCAGGGTCTGGCCTAGAGCAGGCATTGGAGAGGGTCTGGGGGTGGAATGGTCCCTGTTCCGTTCCTGTCTAGTCAGGAAACGGGCAGCTGCTCACCTGAGCCTCAGCTTTCCATCTGTGAAGTAGGTGGCAATGCCAGGGCCTCGAGGGCCAGCCAGGAGCTATGGGAGCCTCGTCCTTGGCCTCGGGCCACCTGGTCTGGTGAGGGTTCTCCCAGCCGCTCCTGCCAGAGCCTCTCATCAGTGCCACTCTGGAGCCTGAGAAGTGGCCAGGGGGTCCCACCCTCGCCTCCTCAAGAGGAGTTCTGGAGGCTTCCTCGCCCTGTCTACCTCCTCTGTCTCCGGAAGCGTGTCCAGCGCCCACCCTGGTGTTGCCCTGTGGTGGTGGCACAGACCTGGTGGCGTGTTTCGGGGGCAGCTGGCAGAGGGTGGATCTGGGTCCAGGCAGCTTCGAGGACACCTGAGCCCTGCCATCCCTGTCCTGAGGGCCACCAGCAGTGGGGACAGGCCAGGGGAGGCAGAGAGCAGAGCTGTGGGTGAGGGTCCCAGTCTGCCTCCAGAGCATGGGCGTCACACAGCAGGTTAGGGCTGAGTCTGGGGAGAGACCCAGGAGGCAGAAAGGATGAGGTGGGAAAGTAGGGGGCAGAGGAGATCTGGATGCAGCTGCTCCTGTTTGGCCGCTCAGGGAGACGCCCTCACCTTGGCTTCCACAGGGGTCCTTACTCCTGCCCCAGCCTGCAGAGTGGGCAAGTGACAGAGGTGGTGGTCCTCGTCCATCAAGCCTCCTGCGGGAGGCTTCAGACAGCCTCAGACAGCCTCTGTGAGGCCTCTGGAAGGGGCCAGGGTGGAATGGGGCAGGGGTCTCGGGAGACCCGATCAGTGCTGGGCACAGTGCTTGGTGGCACCAAGGGCCGGGAAAGGCCCTGAGGGATGAGAGGGGCCCCAAGGTGTGGGCTGGCTCCGGCACTGGTACAGAAGATGAAGCTGATGGCCAGGGACCAGTGGGCAATGTGTGGAAGGTGGATGGGCCGAGGGGCCTCCAAGCCCCT